AATGTTCGGACTGCCCGTTATAGTTAAACAGTCTCATTTATTCTGTCCGTCAGTTCGTTCAGCTCGCAAAAACAGAAACAGTCATTTCGCTAAGCAAAATTTTGGCGTCTTAGGAAATGGCGCCTAGATCGAGCTCTCGAGCCCTGCACAACATCTGCAACTAGCAGCCTTTGCTGAAGGATACCAAAGGTTTCGAAAGACAAAATTTAGCCGTATTTCTAAAGCAGTGTCGATTTACGCACTACAGTTCGCGGGGTTCTGTCTGCACTGTCAAAAATCATATTGAAAATAACTGTTTTTTTACGCTCAAACTGTGCAAGTAAAATCATACAGCTAATAACATGAAAAATTTGCCGAACCGTGGCTTTTAAGTGCCAACCTTAGGGGCTCCAAAAAAACGGACTAATTCCTGATTTTTGAGTGCAACAATTACCTTAAAAACAAGCTGCGCGCCGTCCTCCATTTTTAGCCAAACATGGAAACGATTGCGCCACAATGCATGGAATCGCCGCAGTCCTTCGGTACGCACATTCGCGTCTTCATTCAATAAATTACGTTTTATTACAGACGTAGTTTCCTCCGCACTTCGCACCGACGACACTATGAACAGTGATGCTGCAAATACTGACAAACTGATTCGCGAATTAATTGGATGAGCTAACTAACCTGCACGCCGTCAAAACAATGATTTGTTCGTCAAACAAGATATAATCAGCGAGCTATTTCCTGTCTTTTTTCATGAATGGAACGCAGACAGTGTCTTGAGTTCAATAACAAACAAAGGAGACAAAAATTCACCATACTTGAAAGCAGCTCTAATGATTCTAACAAAATTAATTCACACCAGCAGAAGCAACGACGTGCTTGTCGCTATGGATTAGCAGATGCCAGGATACATTCAGCGTTTCGCGATAGTGCTCATCGCGCAAAACAAGACAACTCTTGAGAAGCACTGAGAAAGGAGCATGCGCGATGCAGAGTATCTGCGTTGCGATGTATGTGAGCATCGGCGATGGTGTCGGATGAGTTTGCAGCTGATCCGCCTCAATCGCATCATCCGAGTCCTTCAATTTTTTTTTTTTTTTACAGTAATGACAAATGCATTGTCGAAGTCCAAAGATTATGTGTATCTTTGCGTGTTTTGGAACTAGGATAGTTTAACTAAAAGACTATGAAAGTTAGGAAGCTGAAATTTTTTCGCACAGAACCTCTAGTCTTTTTTAGTTTTCTGACTTATAACATGCTAAAGGAAATTTGTGACGGCCTATGCTAAACCAAAAATTTTAGCTATAAAATACTAAAAACAACTTTTAAATGGGCCAAGACAAATTTAAAATGCTAGTAAAGTGCAGTGATCTGACAAGCCTGGGAAACGT